ATATATATATATATTACTTACAGCATAAAATATTATGCATATTATAACGTTTATTATATTATATTCAATTACATTATTATATATATTACTTAAAATATAAAATGTTCTTAAAAAATCAATACAGACAGAAAGTTTTAATAATTTCTTGAAACTACAAATAGGTTAGATAGGTTATGAAAAGAGAATGAGGATTTAACACATATTAAACATAATCTCAATAATTCAATAAATATAACCTTGTGATTTTTTCGGCAATTTTCTCATCGTATTATCTAATATAACCATTATTAATTGAAAAACAATAAGGATCAGTACTACAAGTACTGTACTACAAGTACTAATTCACGTGTTACTTATTTCAATTGATCAAGGTATATGCTCATATGATAAATTGAAATTGTTAAGCATTATTAATAAGCGAATGAATTACATTAAATAATATAAAAATACATTAATAGCTGTACAACGTTATAATTTAAAGTAACTGATTTATAAATTTCCTTAATACACAAGTAGAAAGAATCAATTTCTATTGTTTGTGATAATTGCTGTTGTTTTTTTATCTTTTGTTTTCAGCTATGTTTAATTTTGAACAAAAAAATTACATTTCAAGAATAATTCACAACACGAGATTCAATATAAATTGAATGAAATCGAACAAGAGTGTAGATCAGCTGAGTATAATTTGTAAATCGTTGTACATACATTTCTTGGGTCAAGTAGGATACAGATAGAAAATACAGAGTCTAATTTGGACGACAATATTATTAAAAGTTCATAAATTAAACTCCTTTTAATTAAATTAGTTATTTTCGTAGATGGAAATTGAACTTAAATTATGGATACAAAAATGCGAGCGCCGCGTAGCGGTGAAACATTAGAATTAATCGCTGTTGCTATCTTTGTCACATATTATCGCCATCTTTTCTGTAGAGGTATTGTCATCTATCAAATCACCTAGAGCTACAGGATTTAATAGGAATTGGTATTATCATCTATCGGAACTTACTTAAATACGAGGTTCTAATGAGAATCGAAAGGTGGCAGCACGTTTTCGTAAGAAAGGAGAGCACTAATTTAAGACAAAGATAGTGATTCCATTTCCTCACCACCATGCGCTGTTTCGGTGGCATAAATCAAGTAAATTTTCCTCTCAAAAGTATGCTGGTTAACAGCATTTGTCTTTAGTTATTATTAGTATTATATAATAACATTTTACAGGTGTAGGTATAAAATAGTAGTATAAAATAATATACAACTATATTTTACAAATGATGTATATTATAAAAAGAATAAACTGCTTTCAAATAACATACGTTAGGAAATATATCAATTTATGTTTATGTTTAATAATATAATATTTATATTCATTACTTACAGGTACATTTATAGGCATACCCACAATTACACTTATGCATTATACGTGTAGTATAATTGGTTTTTTAAAAGATTTATGACATTAAAGAATCAACAATGTTAGATCTAATCTGTGTTTTTTTTCTGTAGAAAATAGTAAATGTATAAAAATGATATTATTTCTCTTCTATATTTAGAGAAGAGAAATTAAATTTTTAAATTTTTTCAATGGTAGTTAGGAAAAAAAAAGATGAATATTTTAGATGTAAATAATTTTGTTCTTCTCCATAACTATAAATTTGTTTCTTTTGAAAGTTTTAAAACATGTACAATAACATCGTCTATCGTGTTTCTTGTTAAAAGAGATTTTACCCTATTATCTTCTATGACAACCATAAACAAGCATTTTATATTGTCCCTTAGTCTTTCATCAGAGGATAATCTACAATCTGATGTTATCGGTTCGTGTCCGCATCTTCTGATTACAGCTTCTACGATATCTTCAATAGGAGCATCAGGCCAACCAAAAAGCTGTAAAATATGTATGCATATGTATGTATAAATGTGTATGTATATATATCAATATTAAATATTATCTGATACAACATAATCATTGTAGTTGTAAATATTATCTTATTCTAACTTATACCTGAAGAGTATCATCATCAATTAATATTTTCAAAAGGTCTGTGATAGCTTCTAATAATTCCTTGGTGGACAATTTTGTAGACTCTCCATTCTTTGTTCTTTCTGCGGCAACTGTGGCGATATTATATAACTGCGTTTGCAAATTTTTTTTTTCGACCTCATCCATCACTTCTTCCAGTAGAGCACGATGCTTTGCTTTAATGTGCCTCATTAAACAATCCTGACGTATGAAAACTCTATTGCATTCGACGCAAGATTGTGGTGGCTCTCGTCTATGAGTATTTAAATGAGCTTGCAAAGAAGATTTTGTAGAAAATGCTTTCGTACACTTATCACATTTATAAGCTACAACAAAGAGAATACTATAGTTCATTAAAATTATATTAAAATTTTCTACTACAATTCACTAAAATTATATCAAAATTACAATGATCTCATTACCTTTAACTCCTGTATGAAGTATTACATGCTTAACAAGATCTTCTTTTCTTATAAATTTTTTTTCACACATTTGACACGTGAATGGTGTTGCTCCTTCGTGAACGAATTTTTTGTGAACATTCAACCGAGCTTTTCTACTAAATGCTTTTCCACATACTTCGCAATAAAAACCATTTTCTCCAGTATGGTGAAATATATGTGCTCTCAATTGAGCGGCCTGAATAAATGATTTCGAACAATATTGACAAACGTGAGGTTTCTCGCCAGTATGAGTTCTCTGATGGCGATTTAAAGTTTCCCGAGCAGCGAATTTCTTTTGACACTAAAATAATTCGAAAATATAATTAATATAAATATAATTAAACTGTTAAAACGAATTTACAGTACATTTATACTATAAATTAAACTTTTAATTTAGAAAAAAACGGCATTACAAGTTATATACATTCTATGATAAAAACTTACACTAATTTCCTTGTGTATAGTGCTTGCTTGTAATTGCAAAAATTGTACAAGAAAATTAAGATTATAAAACGTACTGGGATTTGTATAATTAATAATAAATGTATTACTTATATAATTAAAATACATCATGAAAGAGAAGTGACTTATTAAAATTGAATTTTGTACGATACTTACATATTGACATTCAAACGGTTTTTCTCCTGTATGTACACGTCTGTGTTTTTTTAATGCAAGAGAAGATAGAAAAGACTTTGGGCATAAATCGCACTGAACCGGTCGTTCTCCTGTGTGTACACGTTCATGAATTAACAACTGTTGATTAGTAAAGAATTCTTTAGGACAATATTTACAAGGCTTCTTCTGTCTCTGAGGAGTTCCAGCATGTGTTCGTAGATGTTCACGTAGATTATCTTTACGTGTGAACATTTTCTGGCAAACCTAATAAAAATATGCAATTAATTACTTGTTTATACTTTGTTTGTACTTCTGACAAAAGTTTGATCATTACACAGAATCTTACTTGGCAATTATATGTATTAAGAATATTTCCGTGACATCCTGATTGCATTATGTGACGATTTAAATGATACATCCGTGAAAAATAAGTATCACAGGGCTCGCATCTGAAATTTTTGAAATTGTTGTATTTGATAAAATATTCTGGCTAGTAAACATATAGACTTACCTAAAAATTTTTTTATCAGCGTGAGTTGTATAACGATGTCTATTCAATGATTTTCTATCACGAAATGATTCTCCACAATCTTTACAGGTACACGAATCACATTGCCAATGAATTACTACAATGTGTCTTTCCAAAGATGACTTTTTTTTAAATGACAGATTACAGTGCTGACATTTAAATTCCCCACCGCTGTGTGCAGTACTCAAATCCTCGGCGCAGCAATGACATTGTGTATCAGGTACAGGCGTAATCACTGGCTTATCATTATTATTCTTTTTATTATTGGAACTGTCATCTGAAACAATTACTTTCATCATCTGGAATTTCCTCGAGCTTGGTTCAACAAAATTATGTATATATAACACATACCTTCTGCATTAGAATTATTAACACAATCCGAGCTATTATCTTTTTCCTCTTCATCCTCTGATTCATAACTCTCGAGTCTTAACTGCAAAATATTGGTGTCATCTTCCTCTCTGCATATATCTAAATGTTCCTTCAGCATCTGTCAGAATAAAAGATATTCAGTCAGGACTTTTTGTAAAATTCATTTAAAAAATTTTCTAACAACGCTACTAATAACAATGATTATGCCAAAATAAAGTAATTAAAATCTTACATCTTGCGACTGAAAGATACGATGACATGTAACACATTCATAATCTGTTATAATTTGTATAATTTGACCATCATGAGTAATAACTGCAAAGAATAATAAAAAAAAGACTATAAATAAAAAAATAATACAACAAAAAGAAAGACAACAAAAAGACAAACGGAAACCATGCACAAATCTAAAGATTTGTTAGAATGCAAAAATCTTTGTTGATATGTACCTTCCGTGTCAGTGGATTCTTCTTGTTCAGCAGACATTATAATAGTTTCTTGTACGTTTTCTGGATCTATAAAAATCAACAGTTATAGTCACTACGAAAAATCTCTGTCTTACATCGCAGACATAATATTACGATTACCAAATAGATTTTCTAATGCCGTGTCTTCCAAGAATACTGCATTCTCAACTTTCACGATTTCTAAAACAGAAATGACGGATGTTGACGCCAACGTAATCACCAACACGTAAAATATATTGTTCACATTCGAGTAAAAGAAAAAGCAAATACATACCCATTATTTCCTCCATCAGTTCCGTTCTCGACAACTAAAACTACAAGACTGTCGTTCGCGTTGTGCAAAAATCGAATATCTCACTGCAATTACAACTTACGATTAAGCTATCGTAACGTGAGCTATCGCAACGTTCCTCTAACACCTCACGTTCGCAAATTAACAATATCAAGTTCAATTGAAAATCGTCGATAAGAATAAGATCGAGATTCTCGACAATTTCTCAATTACTGTTAACCCGCAAGCTGCAAATTTCTCAGTTAGTTTCACCTGCCCCTGGAAGAATAATGCCTGCAAGCCCAAACGCACATCAAAATGGCCTATGTCAAGGGGCACACCTTCCATATTTTTCGTATTAACATACTTTCTAGTGGTGTTCGTAAGTTCAGGTTAAAAGTAATTTTCAAACGTGTATAAATCCACCCTAGAGAAAGTCAAATTTTCATCACTTACTTCTGAATAACTGGAAACAAGATGATCGTTGCGTAATATTTGAAAATGAATAATTGTAGAAAACGATGCGGCCGACGTTATCGAAAGTGGAACAACTGTTAAATTGAATATTTATTAAATGAAAATGTACACGTATAAATTTTGGTTATATGTCAATTTGTTATTCACCTGACATAATTTCGTGAATTTAGTATTGTGATAATTGTCGATCAATGATTGGTGAACGTACTCCTTTTTTCTTGCGGCAACAAATCACGTACGTCAACAAAAAGAATCATAGAATTGATTGCAATCACTTATTAGATACGTTCGTATTGAATAAAAATTCACCAACTTTTTTGTTTTACATTTTGTAGGGTGTAATTTATTTCTTAGGCAGTATTACATTACACATTGAGGAAAATAAGTCTGATGTTATACAAAAAATTTTATATATATGTATGTATATTAAATGATGAGTTGTCACGATATCAATGAACTTTAGGCTTTGCAGATTTCACTTTTTTTAGCTTTTTGAGACCATTGATATTCGACTTTAACAAATTCCAATATGCCTGTTGGAACTTATTTACATCCTTAGAGTGTATCTGTAAGTGTAAAACAAATGAACAATTATTCAAATAATTAAATATATGGCATTAATGTGAAATAAATGATATTAATATAGTTTCATCAGCAGTGATATAAATAACGAAATATATAGATACAACGTTTATAAAATCACACGTACAACAGTAGAGATCTTTTTGGATTTCAATGAGGCTCTTACTAGACAAAGAAATTCATTTGGTGTTGGTAGCGGAGGCCTGCCTTCTCTTGGTACTGGCTTGTTGTGTCCGTTAACTGAGAATAACATTTTTCAAGTAAAATTTTGCTAAACTTAATAAAGTTCCTTAATTCTTTATTGAACTCAATCGTTCCAACTACATTCATGAGACGATATAAATACTTACACCTTTTGATAGTAAGTACCACGGAACCAGAGAGTCGGGATTTGTCGAAAAGTCGCGTTAATTCTACTAAAAACTAAAATTAAAATTAATGTCCCTGATGACGAAATTGTCTCTCCTTTTTCTCCACTGGAGCAAACAGATAATGTTTTATAAGTGAAAAAATTACCGCATCATTCTCCAGCAGGACCATTTTGTTAATTCCAACATATGTTTTTAAGATTTTGTCAAATGTAGTCCACAAGTTCGCTGTGACAGTGAACGATCATTCAGTTTCCCCAAATGACAACGTACTACAACAATATAACGTGTAACAAACTTAACGTTATGGAGTATTTACATGTCGGCGACAAGACACTCGTCTAACTTAGCACGATCAAACGTACGAGCTTTTATCGAAAATTTACCACGCTTCGTATGTTTCTACCGATGATTTCAGAGTAGGGATACTTAATCTTACATAATGTAATTATTCCATTACATTTAATATTGAACTTCCCTTGCAATGAAACTCAACGAAATGTAATGCATACCTCTAATCTGTAGGAACTATGAACATTTCTTCGTACCGAGCGTTTATTGACGTTTATGAATATTTTCCGCCACGCGAATGGAAATACACCGGCAAAATGAACGGTACCAGCGTGCACGTGAAAATTTTTAAGACCGACAAGTGCATTTACGAGAATAACAACAGCGTGGTGTTGAATGCAAATAATTTGAGCAGCTTAATTTCTTGTCTGAAAAACACACGACTCGAAGTCAACGATTTTTTAACTAGCCTCGTGGAAGAGCAACGTTGTTCCGCTGATGCAGGAGGTAAATGGAAGGAATTGTCAGCAAGAAGCGTGAAAACCCAAGCATTTGGTTGAAAACCCCAAAGAGATAACTAATAGATACCTTGTCGATTTCAGATCGGCTAACGTCGGAAAGCGATACGGATTTCGAGGACGAGGTTGAAGTTATTAACCCTAAGAAATCCAAGTTGACCGATCAGTAATTTTGAAGAATTGTTCCGTATTGAATTGTAAGAAATATTTAAACGTTACGCTTGCATTAACTCGCTCTTTTTTCCATGATATCGTCACGGTCTTGTGTGCGCTCGTAAATAGATTTGTAATGGTTAGAAACAGTAACCTGAAAATAACTGGAGAGAACATTGTTAATAACAAGTGGTAAATATTTCTCTTTTATCATTTAAATTTATTACATTTTTTTATCATTAAATTTATTTTTTCTATTTTCAAACATATTAATTAACTGTACATTATATAGTTATTGGTATTTTGTACAATAATAATATATTAATGCAGATTGTATCAATATTTTCTTTTTTACCATTTTACCAATTTCAGTCTCATTACATTCAATTAACATTGTGCAATTTTGTTAAAGATAGAACATGTCTACCATATTGACTAATGAAGTTCAACTGCGCTATATAATAGAGTGGTTTCAAGAATGGTCTGAGATGCAAAGGAGTGATTTTTTGGATGTACTTCTTGAGCAATGTGGGCCTGCTGGTCTTGTTAATGGATTGGTATCTAGAATGGAAAGTTTAGGACATTCGAATGAGTCTGATAGGCCTCCAAGCCTATTTCAATGTCGTGTGAAACTTTTTCGGGAATGGAGTCATAATTGGTCCCAACAAGAGAAAGATTCTTTGCTTCTATCAATCAAAAACACAGATGCTGCGTTTGCAGAAAAATATGACGAGAAGCTGTCGATGTTGGTTGGTGAAGAGGAAAAGGCATAAACCTTTAGAATATATAATCTTAAATCTGTAGAAAAGATTTATACTTACATTATTTCTAAGAGTAGAAAAATATTCACGGAAGAAGTATAATGATTAAAATACTTTAACAGTAAGTTTAATATTTATATTTGATGTAAATTTTAATGAAATATGTAATGGGAAAAGTAATTTTGTGAAATGTTTTAGATATTTTACAATACTTTGATGAGAGTCACATATACATTCCAAAATTATTGCAATATACTTATTTTTAAAATATACTTTTTCTCTTTATTTATAAGCAAATTAATTTTCTTCTTCCTATTCCGGTATAATAATTAAAAATTATAAAAAAACTATTATTTTGGAAGTATATGATATTTTATTACTTATAAAAATGGGTGTTTTTTGTCGGGTGTTAAATACTATTTATTATCATTCATGTATTTAATAATAAATTTCTTTAACTTCATTATAAAATTCTATTCTTATATGATTATATTATATATTATATGTTTATTTAATACAATTATGATCAAATTATTAAAAATTAAATAAATCTTGTTTTAATTACAAGATGAAAGTATCATTAAATATATATAAATCTTTTTGTATGTTACTTTAAAAACATTTTTAATACTTAAAAATAAAATTTTTTTGAATTTTATGGAAATTTTTATAAAAATATTTTATTTTAATAAAAAAAAACGAAACAGAAAAATATTGCACTCTTACTTGGTCTTGCTACCCTAAAATTATAATTTTGGCTCTTGTTGAAGCCATTTCATACATATTGCTTTAATAGCATTTTGACCAAGTCTATCAGATTCTTTCAAAATTTTTTTTATATCTTGCGCCCTTGAATATTTTACGGCTAATAGATATGCTGCTTTTAATTGCTTGCATTCGATATATGCGTTTATCTGAAAACAAAATGTTAAAAAATTTCATTGCAAAAATAAATTCAAATATTTATATGTATGTACATATATAATCTTTGATCTTACTTTAAGATCAATATTGGTTATTAGTTTAATAAGATTGTAAATATCATTCTTTAAAAGTGAATTAGTTTCATCATGTAAATGAGTTAACAACAACTTTACACAATGAGTCAATACATGATCTGAAATAATGTATGAATTTGCAATTCCAGATGTATGACAACATTTGATTAATTGTTCTATTGCAGAAATATTGTTTTTCACTGCCAAAATGTGCCCAGTTAAAGAATACACTTTTTGCTGTGGTAAGTTATAATCTGGAATAATAGCATCGTTTAGATAAACAAGTTGCAAAGTAATTATACAGTATAAACTATATACAAATTGAAAGACCTTGCATTATTCTAAATGCTATGCCAAATCCTTCTTCAATGTTTTGTCCGCATAGAATGGCTAAAACAGCTAAGTTGATTTTTTGTTGTTGATCACCAAATAACGTTGGTATTTCTAAATTAGATGAACTATTAAAGTCCTTTTTTGGGAACAGGATTAAAAATTGAATGGGAGCTCTTCCCTCTTTTTCACAGTTTGTCAAAAACTTTGTGATTTCCATTTGTCGAGAAATTGTATTTATGTGTTTATCTATCTCTGATGGTTCCATTTCCATTGTTAGAATTCCTTGATTGCTATGTACAGAGCCTCTCCGTTTTTTTTTATGATTTAAAGTCTCAATTTGCAATTCAGATTCCAAATGCTTTTGGGCGTCAAGCAAGAAAGTCACTTTTGCATTTAAATCTGAATAGTTACTCACATTATTAAGATAAAAACGGATACAAGTCATTGCAGCGCGTATAAAATCTTTCATAAAAAGTTGCAAATGATATAAAATATTCAAATACTGCCTTTTTTCTAAACTGTGACAAATATATATTAGGTATCTTTTCCAAATTAATAGGTTTGAATTCTTATTTATCATTGCTTCATGAAGTTTGTCAATGCTTCCATTTCTTAAACAATATAAATAAATTGAATTGAAAAATAAGTCAGGTTCTAAATTATTTTCCAAAGTAAAAGTAAGACATTTATCAAATTCCTCATGTTTTAAGAAAAATTCCAAAATTGAGTTATAACTTCCATAAGTTAATAAATAATAAATGCTTTCATGATAGTAAACATTTCGTACCGTTACAGGTGTATTTTTACCACTAAGCTGTCTTTGACTGGAAATTTTAAAACTTTCAAAATTTAACATTTCTTGCGAGACACTGAACTTATACTGATGAGGAATCTGTACGTATTGCTTATATATGCTTAAATTATCCAATATTTGTAAGATATCTATAAGTAATGGTGGATCTTTTAATGGACGATATTTTGAAAATTCTGTTTTCTTTGAATTCAATTTGTCCATTTTAATTTCTTTGTTCTTATCATTTTCGTTTATTAACTTTTGAGTTCCACTTTTGCTTGGGATTTCCGATTCCTTTGGATATGACAGAATTACCCAATCGTCAAAATTTTCGGACTGTATTTTATCAAGACAATGAAAAAATTTCTCTCGTGCTTGATCAAAATATCCCATTTTTAAACATGCTTTACCCCAACTTGCCCAAACTCCCTGTGTATCCAGACCTGCTTTGGTACTTACATCTAAAGCAAGTGTCCACTGTTCTTTTTCAATTAAAAGATCTCTCAATTTTCTTAAAGTACGATCATGTAGATTATCAGACGGTATTAAATGTAAGCAATCAAATTGAACAAGACTTGCAATAAGATCCACTTGCGATAGGAAACGATCGCAATGAACTAATCCGGTATTGAGGCCAAGCTTGGCACATTTAACTTTCGCAGCTACTAGTAAGGAACGTATCATTTTAATGATAACCATGTGGTCAACTTCAGGATTTGCTTTTCCACCACTAACCGGTTGTAAAAGACGTTTCATTTCGTCACAACAATCCAATAGAAAACTATAAATATACATTTTGTTAAATGTCTTCACATGAAAGCTGTATGAAATGATACCTGTAATAAGTTGTCATTACCTAATGTATGTTTGATGTTCGGAATGTAAGTTTAAAATAGCTAAACACAAAGAAATATTTGGAGCATATTCAAATGAAAATTCTTCTCTGATAGTTTCATTATGTTTCTGATCTCTTGTCAATCGCCAACAATCAAATATTTCACTACTTGAAGTGGACTGTGTTCCTTGAAAGGTATGCATTTGTAATGTAGTCTGTTGTTTACAGTCATTGCATACGCGAACAAGTACTGAGGGTGGATAACCAGATACTTGCATGCGATGCTGAGAACATGTTGCGCAAATAACACGACCACATCTACGACAATGATGTCGTCTATTAAACATCGAAAATATAACGTTTTTGCAACAACTACATTTCCTGGCCTATTAAACAAAATACATTTAGTCCACAATTAATCTCAAATGTTACAAGTTAACAAGACAGTAATAATAAAAAAATGCACATAATTTTTAAATACCTTATCATTAGGTATCCATTGTTCTTTGGTAGGAACTACTATAGGCATGATAAACTCAGCATTTTCTATTTCTGAAGCAGAATGTTGTATATTTTTTGACTTATTCTCTATAGATTCACATTGTAAAGATACGCGACAATCCAATGACTTTTGAGCATAGAATCTTATAATTCTGTCAAAGTCGCTTCTTGTTATATTCGTTTGATCTAATTTCTTTTGAATTTTATTTAATATCCTTTGAATACTTTCAAATTTGCAATTCATTAGCAACTGTTCCAACATTAATAATGGCTCTTTAATAAGATGAATATATAATGGTCTCTCTTGAATACTTAGCATACTTAAAATGTCAATTCCTAGTAAAGTTTGTCTATATTTTATAGTTTCTGTTGCTTTACAATACTGTAATAAATAAGTGCAAATAAATCTCAATGAGTCGATAGACTCTAATTTTTTTAAAACCGTCTTGCAAAGTTTAACTGACTGATCCAAAGGTAAAGCCTGAAAAAACTAGAGAAAATGATATATTACTGACAATTGAAAATTATTACTTATAATATTAATTTTACCATATCTTACCTTTAAAGTTTGTTTAAAATTTTGAGATTCATTTCTTAAAAGACCAATTAAGAAATCTTGTGTTACAGACGGATGTATTTCTAAAGAAAATGCTTGACATTCCATCCATTCTAAACACAATTCAAATTTATCTGCATTGATCAGTGATTTGATAATTTGCAATGGGTTAATTGTTTCTGTGCAATAAGCAATATCATACCAAGTTTCGTTAGATTTAATTATACAATATGGAAGCATTTTATGGAAAATTAACACTCTGTGTAACATTTCGTTCAATTGTGATTTACAATGTATGGGTAATCTGTAATTATCTACGTGATGTACTGTATAAAGTAATGCATTTTCACAGATATTTATATGCCACTTGTTAACATTGTACAATACCGTCTGACTTAATATATATACATCTTTAATTTGATATAAATATTCCAATATTTGTGTATTAAATGCAGTATTCTGTTTTGAAATGATGTGACTGAGAACTTTATCTTTAAAACATTGCAACTCACTATTTAAAGTAATATGAGCTGGTAAAGCATTTACAAGTCTCAAACAAGAATCCCATTCATCTTCTTTTAACATAAATTCAAAATGAGACCACAGTTTTTGTGTCGATATTGCCTCGAAAATGACTGCCAGAGTTTGATTATTATCAAATAATAATTTCAATTCCTTTGCTTCCTTCGATGTTAAAAGATTTTCAAGACATGCAGTACGTTTCAAGTTATCACAACTGTTTTTTAAAATAGTAGGATTTTCATTATTTATCCTTTGCAAAAGATAAGAAACAACCCAACATTGACTTTCTAGGTAATGTAATAAATTTGATCTTATACTATAATTTTTCCAACTGATCTTACATTGATTAATTTGTTTATGATGGTATGTATTGGAATAATTTAAATATTTTAATATTACATTGTACGAGTAAGAAAGTGGCATATACTCTATAATTACATCTTCATTAAAGGATTTAAAATAATCATTTATTGAAAATAGAGTTCTATTGTTGCTACTTGAATTATTTTTCAAACTCTGCGAAATAGAAATTTGATATTGTTCTACAATTTTTGGGAGCATTATCTTTTGTTTTTCTGTACTTAGATTCGATTTTTCACAAGAGTAATAATTTAGATATTCATAGAAAGCATTGGTTAAATCTTCATCTAATGATTTTGTGTTATAAACCTATAAATATAAATGTTGATAAAAAACTATATAAATTTATAAATATTATCAATAAATAATTTACAAAAAAAAGCTTACTTGTATACGAGGTGTCCCTAAAAATTCATTAGCCATTACAAAAATTACTCTTGGATCATGAATAATGTCCAAATCTTGCCATGCTGGTTCATTAAGTTCTTCAACTTGCATAAAGAATTTATTATCTAACATTATATTATTTAACAATTTTGATCTAAGTGCAGCAAGTGTTACTAGACCCAAATCACCAATTAAATAACCAATTGACATTAAAGAAATGGCGTGTTGTAAACTGTTAAAAGGGGGATAATTTCTCCAAACAATTAAAGTAGTGTGCAGAAACATCAAATTCCATGTATTCAAAAGAAATATTAATGTTTCATCACCCATAGATAATTCACTCAAATCTAAACTTGCTAGACGTGATGTTTTCCTTAATACAGTTTGAATTTCAGAATAGTTTGAAATAGTTTTACAAATATCAGGATTCAAACGAGACTGATTCAAGTTCAAGTTATGCAAAATTTGCAAGATTTCCGATAATATCTCTGAAACACATTGATTTGGCCCTTCAAGTTTGTAACTTAAATCCTATAAATTAAAATATTAATATTTAATTTCTCTAATTTATTATGTGAAGTTTCCTGAAAATCTTTGTTACATACCGTTTTATTCAAAGCTTTGTTCAAAACAATGCATCCATTTTCTTTATTAGTGATGATATAACTTGTATCTTCTTCGTACAAAAATTTAGGACAAGCATTTGTAAGAATACTATATGATAAATTAATTTGCAAATCATGCGCAATTGCTTCAAGTTTTTGTGGTTCAACCTTAAGTTCAAATATTTGATAACCAAAATAATAATGTAATGGGATTTTTAATAAATCAGAAATTGTAAATATTGTATGCTCAGTTGGAATAATTGAGTGTAAAAGTTGTAAGTGAGAGTACATATTTTGCATATATGTTTTAGATGCGTAAGCAACTGTTATTATCTTACTAAGTATTTTTAAACCAGATAAATAATTACTATCTTTTAATATTCTATTGATTGTATCTTTATTTGCCTGTGATTCTTTAAATTCATAATGATTAATCATAATATCAGTCCAAAATATATCCTTTTCTTTACATTCTTTTATGCATAAAGCAATTTTTGCATCACAGAGTATATCTTCTATAGAAACAATATCTTTCTTTTCATATAACAATTGACAAAATTTATGAAAGAAATATACATATTCAGTATTGTCAAATGTTTTACATAACTTTAGATATTTCATTGCGATTTCACAAAGATTTTGTGAAATTGGATACATTTGACTCATGGTTATAGCCAAATCTAATGCACATATTGTTAATATTTCATTATCATTAAGAATTTCCATAGAAAGTATTCGTAAATTCATTTCTTGAGATACCAAAAAAGTTTCAAATTGACTAGTTTGTCTAGAGGAATTTATACTTTCTTGTGTAACTAGCCTTATATTCTGTAAAAATAACTGCAAGATGAAATACTACTCCGTACTCTTATATTAATATTAATTAATTACTACAATTAAATAATACAATTAATACAATTAAATAAAAATTAAATAATACAATTACCTCTAATGTAGAAGATTGTAAGTTTTCTGGAAATTGATTTTCATTTTTGAATGTGTCGGCTTGTTGATATACATTTTCCCTAAATGCACGTAATGCTTTGGAAAATTGCAGTTCCCCATTTAGCTGAGTATTCTTCATATTATACATCTTGAAAATAAGAATATATTAATACAAACATTAATCAAATATGTTATCTCCAAAAATGTTAACTATATGGTTGATATTGACTACTGCTTTATCGTTACCACTGCATAGAGTTAAGTATTAATATTTTATTGCTATTATGAGTTTTTTATTATTTATTTTTCTACTTTTTATTTAATATTTTTCTACACAGATCAATTTACAAGATAAGAAAGTATTTGAGATTGCATCTGATAATAAAGATTATGATGAAGAAAATGAAAATGAAATGATAAAATCTAAGGATTTAATAAATTTAAACCTTTATACAGAAAATGAAAGTAGATATGAACCACTACATTCATATGTAGACAATTATAACAAACGTGAAATTATGAATAAAATACAGTATACAAATATATTCTTTCATCCAGAATCAAATACATGGGAAACCTATAATGTAGAAGAAAATAATATTCCATTTATCGCTGGTTTTAAAGAAGATCTTGACAAAGTGTTTACTAATAATTGATAAACAATAAATGGTGATAAAATGTAGCTTCATTAATATTTACTTTCAGATCATAAAAGGCAAACACTCAAAATTTATATAAGGAATTGTTTCGAAGAAAATATGATAAAGAAAATAATTTTTCTTTTTCAAAAATAGCTAATGTTGTTTCTAACATCAATAAAAATAAAAGATCAATTTTTGCAAACCATATGTTTGAAGAAAATATTACATATACTGATACGGAACCAGGTGAAGATGCTTATGATTATAATCAGTTTAAAAAGGAATATGAAGAACAAATAGAAAAATATATAAATTCTAACAAAACTGTAAATTTTACTGATGAGAAAAAACTAGAAGAACATCCTAAGGTAGTATTACAAAAATTAATTGATTTTAAAAATTGTACAAATATAACTGGAGAATTTAATATTAAACCATTAAATTGTTTAATATACAATTATGAACAACAAAAAGATAAACCTACTTTTAAAAGACTACTACAGAAAATATATCTAACTATTAAAATTTGGTTTTTGATTTATGTATGTGTTGCAATTCCTTGTTGGTGTCATAAAGGTAAATTATATTATTAAAGATTTCATTAAGTAAGAATAATTTCAAATATATGACTATCCATTATTTTATAGGTTGGTGTTGTTGGTGTTTCCGTTTTAAATTTTGTTTTCCAAAAAAAAGAATATTATTTGCAAAAAAATATTATGCAAATAATCCTCCTGGCGTATTCAGACAAATTCAAATAAAAAAAGAAGAAAAAAAAAAACCCATTAGATATGAACCTACTATATTTGAAGAAGATATATATGAAAAATTGGGAGCTGAAATAAAAAATATATGAATATATTATATTATTTAGATTACCTCTATGATATCCTGTGCTTTTGCATAATCATTTTTCCATAAACATCTAATAATTAAGCTTTCTTTTGTTGCTAGCATAAAATTCACAAACAATGGTTTATGAGTGACATCTTTAGTTATTTTATCATCTGTTAATGATACATTTTTGGAACGTTTTCGCCATTTAGTATTATGTACTAGTTCTGATTCAGAACTACTATTAGATCTTGTTTTTGTTTCATCCAAAATATTACCTTCCTGATAAAAAAATATGTTTTCTGTAGGACGATTAGAAATTAACTTTCCATCTAATAAATGTTTAGTTTTAAACTTGGATGAGTAATTTTTATTTTCATCTTTTATATCAATATTTTTAGTAAATTCTGAAGTTGTATAAAGTTCAAGTCTCCATTTAGCATCTAATATTGCAGCATTGATAGAAGCAATATTTTTTTGAATTTGTTCTATCTCTTCTGTATATTCATTTTTACTTTTTATTTCTCTGAATGTAATTTCTGTTGCTGACATAATATCTACCAAATGAAATAATATGTCTCTTACGACATATTTATTACAAATAAAATCTCCCAACTGTTGTTTCATCATTTTATTTTCCAATTTTAGTTGTTCATGCGTGTCATAATTTTTTATATGATCGAAATCTTCATGTCGCAAAAAAAGTAAACAAAATATATTTTCTATTATTTGCATACGTAGATTAAGTGGAAATAATATTTTTATATAATGATCCATATCAGAAAAGTGCTTTGATATAATAGATTGCTTTGTGTCATAATTGTTGGACAACAAAATTGCTTTCAAAGCACTTAAAACACTATAATATGCTATGAAAACATTTTCTGGTTCGCAAATATCTTTTAATAAATTTCTTACTTTTTCACAATTTTGTTCGCATATGTTTGTTGTCATTTTTAGGACTAAAAGAGTATCAAAATGTTGTAAAAGATCGAATATTCGCTTTGTAAGAATTTTTTGTTCAATATTAGTTGTTTTTGGTGGTATCTCACCACCAACTTGAATGTGATTTAAATCATCTGTTTTAACATCTTTTATGACACTTAAGATATATTTTAAAATTTTCACATTTTTCCGTAATATATTTTGTAATTCATTTAATGTAGGATCACATAATACATCAAAATTACATTTAGGTATTAAAAATTTGACTGAATTACATATGAAATTAAAATCTTTCTCTGTATTATTTAAAAGCATTTCTTCTTGTGAATATTCATACAAAACTTTAAATAATAAAGCTGGCCAAAAAGGTTTTAATAATGTACAAGATAATATTAATGATACATCATCATATAGTTCATTTATCATTAAAATGTAACACATATCCTAAAAAATAACAATATTAGATACAAATGTTTTATAAGATTTTATGTAATAATTTATAGGGCATTACCTACCAAAATATCTGTGATCCAATGTAATTTAGTATTATTTATTCTTTGTATAAGATTATTTTTATTTAAAGTGGGAGCAGATATAGAAGAGAAATGGAATAATATTTTTCGAATTTTTAATATATGATTCAAATTATTAAATTTGGAATGTACATAAAATTCGCTAAGAAAGCTACACCATTTTTTAAAAAATTGATTATTTGTTCTTGAATATAATGCAAATTCGATATCTTGAATATTTTTTGTCTTCAATATCATAGGGAAAAACCATTCTGACAATGTAGAATCATTAAACTTAACGATATTCATTTTTGACATAATACATAATATACATCCAAAATAATTGTCACTGATCAATTTCTGTTTAGATAATTCAAATTCCATCAATTCTTTTATCAGTAAAAAATAAAAATCTTGTAAAGTACAAATAATATTAGCTGATGTTTCGGAATAAGTTAACAAAAATTCATTAAGAATCCAACACGTAACAAATGGATTATTATAAACGTTTTGTTTCAAAAGTATAAAATATTTATTCTGTATCTTTTCAAAATCTACTGAATTTATTTGTTGTAAGATATTTTTATAAATCATTAATAATTCCTGTAAAATGCATAGTTGTAAATATATAGATAATAAAACTATAAAATGAATTTATATAAATTAATTCATTTCAAAATACCTGTTGTAAATGTATTGTTACATTTTTATATAATTGCAAAGCATATATCATTTGAATATAATTTTGTTGTTTCTCTACATGTTTTTCTATATGTTTCGTTGTTTCTCTATATGTTGTTTCTCTACATATATTGTTAAAAAGTTTATGCAACAATGTATAAGTTATCCATCGGTGTTGATTCTCAGTCTGAGAATCACTGAAGAAATATGTAATGAAAAAAATTATTATTTGTATTAAATATTTAAAAAAGATATTTCAGATAGTTTTAAGTACATACATATATTGTAAAATTTATTTCTTTTTAACAGATTTCAACAAATACTTTTTAATATAAATATAGAATAAGACAACTTTAACATATAAAATTTCATTATACTTACATTAAATCTGTGATTAGAGTGTCTGATTCAACAAAATCTATAGCATCATTGTTGTATTGTGAAAAAATAGATTTATCACTATTTCTTTGGTAAATAATAAGAGATGTATACCACAATTTTGATAAAATGCATTTTTTTAACTTTAACGTTTTTTCTTCTCCTGACATCTTTCTAAAATCTACTTACTGTAAAAAATAAACAGTGCACAAAACATTTCACCCATACATCATGCATATGTTGACAACTAACCTTTATAATAATGAAGTTTGATTTAATATATATACATACATATGTATATATACACACACATATAAAAATTAACATATTTTCATAATTTGTTATTACTTAAAAATATCATATTAAAAAATAATTCTTTATTATTACTAAAATGATATATAATTGACTACATTTTATAAATCATTAAAAATCAATCAGGTTAGATAAATCAAAACATATCCTTTTGTATGTTCTTACAATATTTCATATTAATGGTTAATATATATTTTTAGGTGTCTAAATTATCACAAATTTTTTATAACGAGTAAAAGATATGTATACATTCAATAAGGTTGTTAGAAAATTAGTAAAAGACTTAAGAATATTCCATAAATGGAGTATTACATCAAATTTTAGTACAATATCAAGCCATGGTGATAAGTTAAAAATTTTTTTTATAATATTTATAATATTCACATTATAATATATAAAAAATTATAATATTTATACATTACATATATGTATGTACATGTATGTGTATATATATATATATATATCATATATTTTGCAGATGTTCCAGTTGCCAAAAATTTACTGAAAGATAATGAAATTTTGGATACTGAAAGTATTATGAAAAATATTGAACAAGATTATAAAAACATAAATGTAAAAGTTGCTATTAAAGCTGTCAATACTTTATACGAAAACTTAAACAAAAATAAAAAACTGAATCCTAAGATTATCACAAATTCTGAAGCATTTGAAAATATCTGCAAAGTGATATTGAAAGATATTAAATCTTTAAGCAGATATGATACTATAAATATTTTACGAGTTTTATTATTTTTCAATGTTCCAACTGACAGTCTATTAATACAAACACTTTTTCAAATGATACGCGTTTCCTTGAATAATTTAACAATTGGACAAATAATGATTCTATATAATATGTTATACAAAATAGAAAAAATCTCACCTTTGTCTGAATCTTTACTTCATGCATTACCTCATGTTTTTAAACAACAAGCTGAAATAGAACTTAATTCTGATAGTACCAATTTGTTGCAAGTACTTCAGTTTTGTTCTATGATCAATGATTTCAAAGTAAAAAGACAAATACTTATGATTTTATGTAATAATCATGAAAAAATAAATTTAGGTAATGTAATAACAATTTTTGATGCAATATATAGTTTACCAAAATTGTGTCCATTCTCTAAACAACTTTTGGTTTATATACAAAACATGATATTGACTAATTATAGACTGTTAAATTTCAATAAAATTGAACATTTACTTCGTTGTATTTCTAAAAAAATTTTGGACTCGTAAGTATTATATAATTAAAATTACTTGTATAATACAAATATTTCTATTATCTCTAATTTTTTTTTTCTAGAGAAATGGAATTTTATAATGAAAAACTAATAGATAAGTTATGTTCTCAATTATCTTTTGTACTAAGCAGCAATACTACTTTCCAACAAAACTTAATCATATTAAAGCATTTAAACAATATGTATTATAACAATATTTCATTATTAGATTGTTTAATAGAAAAATTTCTTAAAGATATAAATATATTAGAAAAATGTTCTATTAATGATATAGATACATTTATTAAAGGTTTTATTATTGCTGATTATATACCAAACAATTGGGAAAATGTAAGCAGAATGTTACAAAATTTTATGATCAATTTAGACTGTTCAATACATAATACAGTATTTACTGTTTTTCGTTTACTTTCACTAAAGTGTTATCATCCAGAATTAATAGAAAAGGCTTTTGCATTATATAATAAATCCTTTTATGAAAAAAATTCAGTTCTTTTTGGAAAAGATATTACATTAACTATGTTAAGATTATATTGGTGTGTTAAATTACTTTATCCCGAATATAAAGGATTTATGCTAGATGAAAATATATTAAACCAAATTAAGATGGAACATGAGGATTATAAAATACCTTATTTAATAAATTTAAAAGAAGTTGTTGGAGGTACTGAATATATAAAAAGTGG